AATTGATGTCCTTGTTTGGGTCCTGGGAGGACAGTCTGTGGAACCTTCTATTCTACCATCTTGCTCTGTCCGTCTCCCCCACTCATCATTCTTTGTATCTGATCAATCAGTTACCTAATATGACCTAATATGAAAAAATTAGGTAACTGATTTTTCATATCTGGCTATCTGCATGGCATCCACTTCTTTTCATCTCTCCTTCCACTAACATAACCTCAGTTCAAGCCCTGATTATATATCACATTTCCTAATGAAAACTCATCTTCCTAACTCCAGTTTGTCTCCCTTCCAAATTCCTAACTTCTTCTAATCATTTTCATGAAAGATAAATTTAATCACATGCTTCTCATATTAAAATATTCGCGAACATGCCCTTGTATCCAAATAAAGTTCACACTCCTCCATCCTTTCTAGAGATAAAACATCCACTTTAGTATGTCTCGGAAGATACACAGCTTTGCAGAGATTTCTGTATCTGAGATATGGCATGAAAGTTACTCTTGTAACTTAAGGGGCTATGAAGAATGGAACAAGAGATGGCTATGGGAGTTGTTAGCTGGACAAGAACATTTCATCTCTACAGACCCCTTAACTCTCACTCACAGCTTACCTTGCTGTGTAACATCAACTATTATATTAAGTAGGCTGCCTTGATTTCAATCCTTCCCCAAGGAAAGTCAAGAGAAATTATAAACTGACTGAGTTAAGTTTTTGAAGGAACTTCAAAATGGAAATTAGATTGTTATAGAAAAATTGAAATTGTTTTTCTTTTAAAACAAAAACAAAAATTTTCTTCAACCTAGCATTGGTAGCTCTCCATAATATGCTCCATATTATTTTTTCTGCTTTCTTTCCCACTGTATTTTCCCCACATAGCTTAAACTTTAACCAAATAAATCTGCTTACTTCTTATTGATTGTACATTTGTTCAGTGTGTTCACACAATTTGAAATGTTCCTTCTCCCTAAACCTTCAAATTTCCAGATTTGAAAGCCATTTAGGGCCAGGTAAAATATCATCTTCTCCACATAGTTAATCTAGGATTATCAGAATTTATCCCCTTTATAATGGAATCTTTTGTTAGCATTTATCTTGTCTACCTTCTGTTTTTATTTGAATGTTTTCTCCCCACCCCACCCCCTGAATTAATGAAATTATGATGGCCAAATACCAAGGGTAATTTTTCCCTGATCTCATAATAGTATCTGGAACTGAATTGCATTTAGGAGATGACAAAAAACATGTTGATGAACTGAATTGTGACTTCAATAAATAAATGAATGCAAGAAAGAAAGGAAGAAAGATAGAAAGAGAGGGAGGGAGAAGAAAGGAAAAAAACGGAAAAGTATAATATTCATTGCCTGAATTAACCCTTTAGGCATGTAAAGACGTTTTGATAATAATAGAATATGTTGAAGTATTGAATATGAAGTTACCATTATCAAAGGTTTACATAGATGGATTATTTATATATTACTTCTAACCAAAACAATATTTTTATATTATTTGCAAAAGGATACAATATATACACAAAAATTAGACGTGGAAATTTGTGGCATTTCTAAAGCTCCATGAAATTTAATTGTATTCTTATTAGAGATATATACTGTTTCCCTTCACTATCTCTCTTTACATATTTGCTATTAATAACAAATACACTGTTCTTAGGTTTATAATATACAATTGATGAGAAATATTACCTGTTCTGAGCATTGTGACCCACCAGGTGCTTAAAACTTTTTGACAAAGTATGGAACATCAGTGGTAATATGTAGGAAAAAAAACTGTTCTGTTATTCTGCTCAGTATAGCATTGCATCATTGTTTCACAGAAAGGATAACATTATGATCCTATGTGGGCGTATAGCTCATCTGTGGGAGGATGTTTCTGTGCATACTTAGTGATCAAAATTCAAGAAACACGCCTCATTTTTATGAATATTTTCTCATTAGGAATTTGGCTCATGTAAATGTGTCACATAGTTTGTAGAAGCATTATATGGAAAAGGATAAAGAAGTAATGAAAATTTTATTTTGCATATACAAAAAGCTTGAGCTACTGAAGAGAATTCCTGGGAGTATATAGTATCATTGCTGTCAACCCAGTGTTTAAAATCTAAATTTAATTCTGACCTAAAAATAACTGGAACATCAGAGGTGTACCTTTCCATAGCATGAATAGGTTTGTAAAGTATAGATTTCTCCATATGCAATGCTGTTTTCTCTTTAAAACTTGAAATATCTTTTAGGAAAAGATTTGGCCCCAAGTATTGATAAAACCCATACCTGAGAAGAAAATATTTTAAAATCACCTGTTGATGAAAGTAAAATAACTTACTAATAAATAAACCCCCCAAAGTACCTCGAGCTATTTAAATGTTTAGCATGATAAAATGAATGCCTTAAAATTATAGCTTAACAAAATATAGTCATTGAGCTTCTTTCTTCTCCCTAATGTAAAGTTATAAGGTAGTATGTTAATATGCACTCTGCGTGTGTGTGTGTGTGTGTGTGTATTTGAGGCAGAGTCTCGCTCTGTTGCCCAGGCTAGAGTGCAGTGGTGCAATCTTGGCTCACTGCAACCTCCACCTCCCAGGTTCAAGCAATTCTGCCTCAGCCTCCTGAGTAGCTGGGATTACAGGCATGTGCTACCACACCCAGTTAATTTTTGTATTTTTAGTAGAGATGGGGTTTCACCATGTTGACCAGTCTGGTCTTGAACACCTGGCCTCAAGCGATCCACCTAGGCCTCCCAAAGTGCTGGAATTACAGGCAGGAGCCACCTCGCCTGGCCTCTATTTTAATATGGTGCATCCTCACCCTTTGTGAAAGCCTCTGGCTTTCAATAACTACCAAGGCAATCTTGCTGAAAGAAGGTATAGATGCAAACAAGTAGAAGCAAGTGTTCTACATAGTAAGCTATTAAAGAAAGAAAGAAGTTTAATGAGAGAAAAATAGTAAATTGGGGGCACTCAAATTGTTTCATGTTTGGTCAGTGGGAATCTCTTCATGTTGAGTCCTGAGTCCTACTGACACAGGAGTCAACTCATGTGTACTAGTAGTCTTGATAGACTACACCTAGTAGACTTTGATAACTTCCTTCTGTCTTGTGTCACAGTATAATCCAAGCTCATCTTGTATATTTCCTATATGAGATCTTGAATCAGCCATTTTCCAAGAAGGCTTGGGAAATGTGGTTTTAAGACCATAAACTGTGGGAAGTTTATCATTACTAGGTTGGTCATTGTTCCTATGCCTTTTCAGTGTGCAGAGCTAAGAAATACATGCCTACATAAATGTATATAGATAATACTTCAAGAGACTCCAGCGTATTATTTAACTTCTTTAATCTTATATATGTGTCTGCCTTCTCCCATACAAAAAATACGTATCAATGACACTGGAGTGATAGAATGACAGTCACATAATTGTTCAGTTATTCATCTTGTAAAGTACACGCAACAGATTCTACATGACAATAATAATCACAACACTACCATCAAACATCATATGATTACTGAAAACAGTTCAAGATTATTTTAACAGTCCTTTTTGTTGGATCACATGAGAAATGTGCTAGTAAATTTTTATATTTTAAAGATACTTGAAATAGTTACTTTCTGTATGATTATTATCTGCTACTAGAGTATATATTCAGATCATATTTACTTTTGTCCTTGAGGAGAATCTCTTTGAAGTTTGAATGTTTAGTCCTACCTTCTGATTCTGTGAAGGTAGGCAAGTAATGGAATTTGCATACATTACAGCTGAAGTAAGCTATAGAAGCAGCAAGCAGAAACTGGGCAATTTCCCAACTTTTCCTATATTATCTCTGCTTTGGCATATGAGTCCCTCAGAAAGGCAAGACCCAATTCTTAAATATTTCTATTAATTTGAAAAATATACCTAAGTTTTATTTTTAAAAATTTGCCCTGATCTGAATACCTACTTCTTCTGACAAGGCATTGTGGTAAAGCTGCATTATCAGCTGAGCAACATTCCTTTTTGCTAAAATTAAATTTAGGAAAAAATGAAATGAAATATTATTTCCTAAAATATTCAGTACTGTGGAAATGTTTTTTTTTTTCAAAATTAGCCAAATAATAATTACTTAATTTTATTTTTTGAAATAAAGTTAATTAATTTTTAAAATTAAAATAGTGATGAAGAATAACACTAATACATGGTGAAAATGTATTTATCACTTAATATATGTCAGATTCAATTAATTGTTCTCATTTTGTCACTTAATTCTCACAACATTCTTATTGGGTTACTACCAATATGCCCATTTTATAAATTCTCTGAGGAAACTGCGCTGTAGAAGCATTAAGTCTCTAAGCAAAGATCAGTTTGTTGTATTGCTGCTTATTGTGTATCAAGTACTTCCAGGTTAAAAAAAAAAAAAAAGACCATGGTAGTTTTTGAAAGAATTTTTTTTATAATTTCTGGGAATTAAATTTAGGTGAGAACTGTGAACTTGGTAATTATTATTAGTAGATGTATTAATTTTAAGTGTATAATGTAAAAGTATATGTAATAGCTTGCCATAGTTGAAAATATAAAAGTATTTGAGATTTTGATAGGACTATTGAAATAAATGTTAGTGTGTTTTTTAATGTTCTAATCCATTATAAGTTAGTACTTGTAATGTTGGGAATATTTTAACGAAATACGTTTATTACATGTAAAAGCTTAGAAATGGTTACAATATTTTTTCAATTTTTGTCTTTAAAAGTCTACTTAATGTATATTGTCATTTAGTATGTGTTTAAAAGTAGTAAAATTAGAATATACAGTTAAGCAAAAATAAGGATATCCTCTGCTACTGACCATCAGAGCTAACCATTATTAATATTTTGGTGTATAGCATCCCAGATTTTTCCTACTCTTATTATTGCTTTTACTTGAATTGTTAAAACTTTTCAAATTATTGTATAATTTCTAAGAAAATTTTTTTAAAGAATGTTTAAATCTGATGTATATGGTTCTTTTTTCCAGGATTGTACTGTGTATGAAACAGAGAATAAAATTCTTCACGTGGTGAGTATACTTGGATTTATTTTATCTTTATTAGAGAATACTTCCTTGTTCAGCTAGAAGAAGTAAACCATAAGAAAAAAAATCTACTGACCATATCGGTTAAGCATACTTTTATAGGAAATCTACAAAAGAATCAAAGCATAACAAGTTACGTTAGTTATAACCATTCTATTGTACCTAATAGGAAAAGAATTTGATATAGTATTTTAAGATTGTAATATGTAACAAAGTTGGAATATAATTAAAAAACTAATAATGTAGAGCAAGGAGAATTTGAAATGAGAATTTCTTTTACTGTTCATATATTACAAAATAAAGATCAGAGAAAGATATTCTGTTCTGTGATGGGTAATTCATCTCTATCGTCATTTAGATGAAATACTTTATTTAAAAAATCAAATTCCCTTTGCTCCAATTCTATACTCACCAGATGACTTTTCAAATGGTAATATGGCAATATTTTTTGAATCAATTATTGACTTTACATATTATTTTATTACTAGAAATGGACTATGAGTACATTATACTTGGTGGGAAGGCCATTTCCTGTTTTCTTAATGAACAGTTAGCCACTTTTGTTTGTAAATGCATTTCTTGATCAATCCTGGTTTGTCCTAATAACTTCTTTACCTCTGGTGTGTGTGAAATCATGTCATTTCTACATCTGCCAGGTACTAGATGTTGAAGATCCATGTGTCTGTAAAAGGACATTTGCCTCATTTATTCCTATTTTCACTTTTATAAGTTTTATGTTTCTGAAATGTTTGAATATTTATAAAAGAATACTATTTTATATTTAGAAAAGTAAATGCTTTAAAAACATCTAAATGTATGGAGGGAAAATATTCAAAGTATCAGGAGCACAGCATTCCTATTTCTTTTTTGTTATCTACTATAGAAATGATACTGAATAATCCTCTGCTAATCCTCTTCCCCTCATTGTACAGTAGTGATGCCCTTTGTGGTTTGTAAGGATAGTCTCAGGAGTAGATAATTAACGTACTTTTCTCCTTATTAGTCCAGGAGGGAAAATAATTATAACTCCCTCACGTTGATCTACCTGTAGGGCATGGAGAATAAGAAGATACTAATATTTATTTAGGGCCCATATATTTCAAGTATTAGTTTAGTTTCTATAAGCATATTCTCTCATTTAATCCTATTTTTGCAGATGGTAGAACTAAGGGTCACAAATGTTAAGCTGTTCAACTATTCAGTTTGAACACAGAATCTGATACTAAAGCCCATGCTCTTTCCAGATCTGGCAGTTGCTACCAATTCTAGTTACCTAAGACTTTACAAATTATACTATCTTTTTTCCAGTGGAACTGTCTAGCTGCGCCTATTATGTCAATAACTAAGGAGCATGAACAGACCCTTTTGCTCCTATATTTTATTTCCTGTGAGTGACTCTTTCTTTGACATTGAATTTTCTATGACAATGACTGTTCTTTCTGAAGTATTGAATTTACTGAATCCAACTTTGGTACGCTGCTGTGGGTTCTTCATTGTTTACTTCAAGGCTGTTATTGAGGTCGATGTGTACTAACCTTTTTTTCTTTATCAAGTTTCTCAGGAGTAATCTCTCCCTGATGTTAGTATCAAAAAGAGCTGTACTTTTCTTTATGCATTGGCTGCTATGAACTTCAGATTAAAATTTGTGGCCCATAATTGGCAAGTGCATCTCATGGTATTTGTTTTGTATGTAGCTTCATTCTTGGCTCTAATTTATATACGTGATTTCTTTTTGCCTTATTTTCTCAATTAATTTATGTATGCTATATATTTTTACATTTGTTGATGTAATCTTTTCTGTGGAGGAATAGTTCCAGTTACAAGTGCACATTTGTGATCAGTATTCAAATATCAACAAAGGAAATGTAAATAATTTATGGAAAAAGAGTCTCTAGAGAACTGTAAAAAATACGCAATTTTATTTCTGAAGAAAAGTCAGATTCCACCATATGACAGAATAACAGAAATCAATTTAAATGATGAAAGAAATACTGTGGGTTATCTCTTGTACAAAAGACCTTAAATATAATTTTAATTAATTAACTAGGAAATAAGCTCTTCCAGGTTATAAAATAATGATTGAAATTTTATTAAGTAAAAATCATAGTAATAGCCAAATTTTAAACTTTCTTATTCACTAAATATTTTTAATTTTAAATAATTTTAAAATAATAAGTAATGTTTAGTTTCTTAAATAAATTCCTGATAATTGACTCATTGACTTACCTTTCTCAAAAGCCAGATTTTGGGCTACTTGCCATTAGAAATAAGTGACAGTGTAAATAGTACTGAAGGAGTTTAGAAATGAATACCGTATATTTACCTTGGCAATTTTGCATTCCAGCTAGTGAGAATTTAAAAATCCTGTCTGATAATGATGGAAACAGTGAATGGCATTAACCAAATCAGTTCATCTCAGAAAGCACTTGTCTTTTCATGTTATCATTATACTTCTCATCCTGGCCTTTTTATACAAAGATTACCCAGCCTTTACTAGAAGGCTGTATGTATACTTATATATTACTTTTCTCACAGAATAATTCATTTTTTTTTTAATAATGAAATTGTATACGGTACCACTTAGTATATGATGCTAGAATAGTTTCTTTAAAACAAAATTTTTAATACAAGTATCTTTCCAGATCTATGCTGTAGAAGAAATAACTTTGAGTCTAAAAAACTGTGTCTGAATCCTAATTCTATTATTTTCTATCTCGGTGACCTGAATCAAGTGATGTTTTTGAGAGTTTGTTCTTATTATATAAAATTGGTATGTTAATATCTTTCATGAATGATTGTTTCTGGGAGGAAATAAATCAGTAAGTTTTCTAGGCAGAGCTTTATAATCTGGTAGTCTTCTTTCCAGTATTTATTTAGTTAGGTTATATTTTATTATTTAGAGTTTTTAATTTCCTCTTTATCTCCTTTTTATATGTACCAGAAAATCAAAAGCCTGAGTTTTTATATAGCTTGTTTAGGATGAAATTGTGAGCTAGTTTTAATGTTTTACTTGTTTCTATGATACTTGAATATTCTAAGTACAATATGTACTCTCTATGAGCGTCTTAGCCTGGGTTCTTTCTGGAAAACAGAGACTACAGCAAAGGCTTGAATGGATAGTTTATGTTGATTAGTGATCCCAAGGCACAGAAGCAGTACTGAGAAGGAGAATCAGTATGGGTTCTAGAGTTGTTAACCGCTACAGGGAACTGAAGTTTGATCCCATCAGGACCTTCTGAGAAGCCCTGCAGAATGTGCCTCGGAATTGTCCAACCTGCCTGACAAAGATTGAAGAGGGAGAATTTATCTGCTTGCTCTAATCCAGTTATCCCATTGGTCAAAGATAGCGCCTTGGGATGTTAACTCTCTCACACTACCAGGTTTTTGGAGGTACAAGAGAGCTGTAGGATAGAAAGCAAAGGCAGTACAACTGAGGTGAAGCACATTGCCACAGCAGTAGCTGGAGAAAAGAGTGGGCTGAGTGGGTATGAGATGGAGCTTAAGGGGTGTCTAGTACAATAAAACACCTCTAAGCGGCAATCTAAATTTTAAAGTATTTTGGATCACATAAAATGTCCTTATAGTGATTGAAATCAAGATTTGCATAACTCACAAAAGCAAGCTTCAAACAGTAGATAAGGCATAACGTTTGTGTAAAAAAGCAGTATATTTATAGTGAAGAAAATAATTTGAAGAACTATGCAACAGACTTAATGTTGGTTGTTTTTGCGAGAAATAGGATAAATTTTAGGGGCATTAATTTTAAGTTTTGTGTTTGTATAATGGTTAAATATAGCATAACAAATATGTGTTAATTAGAAAAATAAACTACTAAAATATCCATAGAAATGCCTGAATGGCAACCCAAAATCTAGATGAAAATGAATATTTTATAGTTAGATACAGTGAATTAGATCTACTACTTGATAGCACAGCAGAGTGACTACAGTCAGAAATAATTTGTTGTACATTTTAGAGTAACTGAGGGGGTATTATTGGAATGTTCATAACACAAAGAAATGATAAATGCTTGAGGTGATGGATATCCCATTTACTCTGATGTAATTATTACACATTATATATCTGTGTCCAAATATCTAATGTACTCCATAAATACCTAATGTATACCTACTATGTACCCAGAAATTATTTCTAAAAAATAAGTATTTTTAACAAATCAGTAAGAATTTCAAATGGGTAAGGAGTGAAAACAGTGCTGGTAGCCAACCATTGACCGACCTAAAGAGCATGGCTGAAATCTTTCTGGTGCCAGGCAGATTTAGAATCCTGTGTAATATGCTAATAGTTCTTAGGAACCTCTTTACTTTAGCACACTGCACTGTGAGTTAAATAGGTTTTTAGAACATCCCCAGTGATGGCTGCCTTTTAGAAGGAAAAAGGAGGAGACCTCACGTGACTGAACAGAGATTATAGTAGCTTGAGATAGGCACAAGAACATCAACTTTCTTAGCCTAAATGTTACCTCTAAATCTTTATTTTGTACAGAGGATAGGGAAGGCAATTTTCAAGAGGAAGGAGAACTTACCACTTATGAAAACTTGCTATATCCTAGGAATTTCACAAGGCAATACAGGTTGAGTGTATCTCATCTGAAATGCCTGAGATTAGAAGTGTCTCTGATTTCAGATTTTTTTATGGGGGGATTTGGGAATATTTGCATAATATACTTACCAGTTGAGCATCACTAATCTGAAAATACCAAACCAAAATGCTCCAATGAATGTTTTCTTTGAGCATCATGTCAGTGCTTAAAAAGTTTCTGATTTTCAGATTAGGGATACTGAACCTGTACCAGCATCAGAGAGCCGTTCAACACATGGGCAAACTGAGATAGAGATCTGAGATTGTGAGCTGTTGTGTCTTTCCCTGAAATAGATCTGTATTGAAGGATGAGTAAATAAAAAGAATGGGAAAGAGTAGAGGAAGTATACTCCAATGTATTAGAAGAAAATCCTTCCCCATGA